GCGTTTCCCCACGAAAAAAAGGGGGGGAATAAACCCACCTGGGTCTTGGGGTTCAAAGGCCCACGGCAATCTATGAACCCCAATACTCCAGAAGCATCAGGCAGAGGCTTGGCACGAATCAACGGGGTTTATGGGAGCCTCGGGTTGAAATTCAGGTTGTAGGTTTGATGGGGGCATTTAGGAACCAAAAGTGGGAACTTGGTGGCGTCCCCCCTGCGTGGGCCACTCAGAGAGACTCCATCAAGGCTTCTGCTGGATGGGTTTGCACCAAGCAAGAGTTGCTCCCACCTTAGCTCCAGGGCTCAGGTGTCACCCAGCAAGAGAAGTCATGGGAGGAGAGAGAGAGGAGAGGAGACAAGACGAAAGAGGAGGGGAAGGGAGAGGGGAAGAGGGGAGAGTAGAAGAGAGTAGAAAGGATGGGAAGGGGGAAGAGGAGACAAAGAGGAGGGGAGAGGATGGGGAGAAGAGAGAAGGGGAGGGGAGGAGACAAAGCGGAGGGGAGGAGAGAGAAGGGGAGGAGAGAGGGGAAGAGGGGAGAGTAGAAGAGAGTAGAAAGGATGGGAAGGGGGAAGAGGAGACAAAGAGGAGGGAAGGGGAAAAGAGAGGAGGGGAGAGTAGACAGAATGGGAGGGGAGGAGACAAAAGAGGAGGAGAGAAGAGAGTAAAAAGGATGGGAAGGGAGAAGAGGAGACAAAGAGGAGGGGAGAGGTTGGGGAGGAGGGGAGAGGAGAAGAGAGAAGGGGAAGGGAGAAGAGAGTAGAAAGGATGGGAAGGGAGAAGAGGAGGAGAGGAGACAAAGAGGAGGGAAGGGGAAAAGAGGAGGGGAGGGGAGAGTAGACAGAATGGGAGGGGAGGAGACAAAAGAGGAGGGGAGAAGAGAGTAGAAAGGATGGGAAGGGAGAAGAGGAAACAAAGAGGAGGGGAGAGGTTGAGGAGGAGGGGAGAAGAGAGAGGGGGAAGGGAGAAGAGAGTAGAAAGGATGGGAAGGGAGAAGAGGAGACAAAGAGGAGGGGAGAGGTTGAGGAGAAGGGGAGGGGAGAAGAGAGAGGGGGAAAGGAGAAGAGAGTAGAAAGGATGGGAAGGGAGAAGAGGAGACAAAGAGGAGGGGAGGGGAAAAGAGAGGAGGGGAGGGGAGAGTTGACAGAATGGGAGGGAAGGAGACCAAAAAGGAAGAGAGGAGAGAGAAGGGGAGGGGAGGGGAGGAAAGAGGGGAAGGTAGAAGAGAGTAGAAAGGATGGGAAGGGAGAAGAGGAGACAAAGAGGAGGGGAGAGGTTGGGGAGAAGGGGAGGGGAAGAGACAAAAGAGGAGGGGAGGAGATAGGGGGAGGAGAAGAGGGAAGGGGAGAAGAAAGTAGACAGGATGGGAAGGGAGAAAAGGAGACCAAAGAGGGGAAGGGAGGAGAGGAGACAAAAGAGGGAGGGGAGGGGAAGAGAAGGGGCCAGAGGGAAAGAGGAAGGGGGGGGAGAGGAGAGATGACCTGCCTTGTCTGAACCAGCCTCCAACACGGGACTCTTGATTCAGACCCCGCCAAGTACCAGAGACTCACCATCAAACTTTTTGTATCGCGCTCCGAAGGTGCCTTGCAAATTGTTGCTCAGCTCGACAACGGCAAGGCTGAAATCTTGCCTGCTCTGCTGCCAATACTTCTCCTCCATGGCCTGGGAGCAGCAGGTGTAGCCTTGAGGGCAAATTTTCAAGTGATCACCTGAAAGAAAGAAAAAAAAGGGGGGGGCACATCAAAGGGAGAATTTGAGCACCGGCACCTCTGGCCATGCCAACCCCCCCTGGAAGCTTCTTCCGTGCCAACCCACAGAAAGCAAATTCCCGGTAGTAGGTATTTCGTAAGGGCATCTTATTCATCCTACGGCTTTCAGAACCTGCCCAACCTCTTGTAACTCCACTCGGGGTGGGTTACTCGAGGTAAGCCTCCTAAAAGCGAGGATTAGGAATAATTCGGAACGAAAACCTGGGAGTCATCATAAATCAGCCAGCCCACCAGGCAGACAGAGGCTGAGTTAAGGACCCAATCAAATAAATCTGTCTCTAGCCATCTTCTAAAAACCACAAGGGAGCTCCCAAGATGTGGGGGGGGGAGCCCCCCGCATCCCTTTGTTTCCTCCTCGTGCTCACGACCTCAGACAGAGGTTAACAGATGTGCAAACTCACTGCCACAACGGGCAGGAACTCAGTGAAACGGTGGCTGCGTTTTGCATGGCACTAAACTAGGATTCGCGGCTTGGTTGGCAGCCACCGCACCAAGATTGCTACGCAGCCTTCACACAACTCCCATGTACGACAGCGTGGCCCTGGCAGCCCAGCCCCCGTTGGCATCAAGAAGTCAAAGCTTCTTGTGATCTTTGTTTGAACCCGGCTGCCCTTCACCATTTCGACGTGTTTTTCCGATCAGAGTCATCTCTCTCAGCCGAGTAAATCCGTCCTTAAATCCATGTCTCAGACCAAAAATTGCAGGCTGAGTCACGGAGGAGCGTCACGCCTGGCTTGGCACACAGCTTTCCTGTTTTCTCCGTTTGAAATTTGATGGGCCAAGGACAAAAGCACCAGCCTGTGGCAGGCATCACTTTTTGGGGCACCCCTCGTTTGCGCGGGGCTGTTGTTGAGAAGCAGCCCCGTTCAGTAACACAACCTCCGGGATCAATCAAATCTCGAACCGAGATGTATAGGCTGAGAATAGGCTGAGCTGGAATTGAATTGAATTGTTTATTATTTATAGGCCGCCCTTTTCCCTGAGGGGACTCAGGGCGGCTTACAATTCATGGGAAGGGGAGTGCAAGACAATATAACACAATACGTGAATAAACAAAATAATAACAATAAAACACAACAGTCATTCAACATTCGGGTGGGGCGGCGTAATCCTTANACAACAACAACAACAATAATAATAATAATAATAATGGGTTGGCATTTTTTGTCTACCTATCGAGTCCTTACCAAGAACCGTGGGCAGGTAGGCAGGTTTGAATGTTTGACAGTGTTACCAATATCGTCGCAAGGATGGAAGCCGTCCCGAGTAAAACCGCCTTCCGCAATTGATTGATGGCAAATTTGTCAATGCCAATGGTGCTCATGTACTATTATCATTATCATCATCATCAACCTATTTTCCAAAGCACCTGAAGGCAGGACAAGAAGTAATGTATGGAAACAGATCAAGGAGAGAAGGAACTTAGAACCAAGGAGGAATTTCCTGATGGTGAAGACAGTTAATCAGTGGAACAGAAGTTGCCTCCAGAAGTTGTGAATGCCCCAACACTGGAAGTTTTTAAAAAGGAAGTGGATAGCCATTTGTCCGGAATGGTTTAGGGTTTCCTGCCTGAGCAGGGGGTTGGACTAGACGACCTCCAAGGTCCCTTCCAACTCTTGTTATTCTGCTTACTTTCTCTAAGTGGCCCCGTCTCTACCAAGGATTACAATGCACGAACCCATAAATAATAATGAACTTGGAAATGCTTACTCATTGCCATGTATTTTGTATTTTATCTTAAATTTTTTAATATATGTTTGTCTTGCCTGTAAGCCGCCCGGAGTCCCAGTGGGAGTGGGCGGCATACAAATACTAATAAATTGAAATTGAAATGACCCAAATTGAGATCAAGTGGGGACTCTGCTGATTGTCCTAGATCCCTCTTAACGGATTTCCAGGTCCTCTCCTACTAACCCAAGAAAGACATAATGGCTCATTTGGCAAGCTGCCAGGCAGGCAAAATGCTGGAAATAAAACTGAGGCCCATTCATAGGTTCGGTCCCCGAGATTTGGGTGGAATTGTGGCAGGAACTACGATGATGCGTATGCCATCTACGTGCCAGAATCAGGGACCAGGTGTGAGCAGCTTCGGGATGGGGACATCAAAACAGATGGGCTCTTCCTGTTAAATCTTCCACCTCTCCAGACTTCAAAAATTGCGTTTGGGTGTGTGTGTGTGTCCATTTCGGGAGAGGGCAACGGGGCTGGGAGGCAGGGAGGGACTCAAGGGGGACTTAAGTCCCTCTGGTTTTTATCTAGCCCAACGGTCAATTCATCCTGGTCAATTCTTTCTCTAAACCAGGAGTGCCCAACCTCAACAACTTTTTAAGACCTTTGGACTTCAACTCCCAGAATTCCATAATCAACTTTTAAGACCTGTAAACTTTGACTCCCAGAATTCNGGCACAGAGTCTCTGAGATTCACGGACAGATCTTCACACTCCTGAAACGAAGCTAACGACCGAATGAACAAATTGTCTCCTGCAAAAGGCCCCCCCTCTCCTTTCGCTCCTCTTTTACGTCCTATGGGAGGGGCCATTCACCGTCCACCTGTGGCTTTACTCCCCAAGTTGACCCTGATTTCTCAGCTGTTCTTTTCTTCTGGCAGCTCTGTGCATGCGCACACTGGGAACAGGCTCCAGCTGTTCCTCTGCCTCACTGCTATCTACGTAGACCCTTCATCCGAGGCTTCCCCAGCCCCCCGGACTGACCCATGCTCCTCCCCAACTTCCTCACTGTCCAACTCTGCTATACCAGTTCTGCTGGCCGCTTGGGGGGGGGGGGCACAACAGTGGCCAACAAGGTCACAATGACCACCGTTGGCCAAATCCAGCTGAGCTCAAGACGCTGAACCCTGCTGCCTGGGTCCTTCCGTCATCCTTCCTCTTCGGAAATCCTTGGTCAGCTTTTTGAGCTTAAATGCCATCCCCGCTCCTGGACACACCAGCGTGCATTGTCCTCTCTTAATGGTTTACGACTTCCCCTGAAAATCAGCCATCAAAAGAATCCCGAGGCTAATCCAATTTCACACTCAACTTGTCCTGATCTCCTTATCAGGAGAGATTAAGGTTCCTCTTATCACTGCTAATTAACAAGCTGGCTGGAGAATTCTGCTGAAGACCAAGAAAGCATCTGAAATACACCACAAAGGAGAGTTTTTTTTCCTTGCTTACAAAAACGGGCACCCCCCCACACACAAAAAATGCCCCCCTTGGACATCAGGAGCAAAAATGATCTGTGGTCAGATCCAGCTAGGAGGGAATACCCAACTCAATTCCCCCAGCCATCTTCAAACAAGATGATGCATCATTCATTGTGCAACCACAATTTTATTTATTTTGGGGGGGGGGGAGATTTGCCTTTCAACCCACAGCTGGAGGGGGGGATGCACAGCAAACCCTCCTTCCATCCCCCCCCCCACACACACACTAGCAACACAAGGGCATCGTTTCACTCCCACCCAAAGAGGACGGTGACAATTCATAAATTCCGCAATGCCACAAAACGCTGGGCTCCATTCTGGCCAATAATAATAATAATGATGATTGAACGTCTCCAAAAGATCCTAGGAGGAAAACTTAACATACTTTGGGGCCTCTCCAGAGAGGCGGGAGGAGGAGATCGATGGGATTTGATTCTTTAAAATCACCCTTCCCCAATCCTCCCCCCCCCGCTCCATTTTACTTACTGACAAATTGAGGGTTGTGGATTTAACAAGGGGAAGAATGCAAGGCAGGGGAAAAGCAGGCGAGAGATTTATGCCCTGCGCACTCCGAGCCAAAAGTTACATTAAGAAAACTTAATTCTGTTCTGGAAACAAAAGAAAGAAATAAGAGAGAGAAGCATGTCTCTTTACATAGCGCAGCTTCCTTTTCTCTCTTCCAAATCCTACTTCGACTATCCCAGAAGTCCAGCTTCCCAAAACACCACTGTCTATAAATAACTTTGCCATATTTTATTTTTCTTCCTCCTTGCATGAAACCGGCCAAGACAAAAGTCCGTTGAGATTTATGCCTGTAATCATAGATCATAACAGGGCGCAAAGGAGAATAATCATTAGGTTTCAACAATGGAGCTGGGGGGGAAGAATAGAACTAATTAATAAATCAAGATAAACGTGAAACTTATCTGATGAAAGGCCCCGGCGAGAAGCTCTAATCTTCTATAAATCATGCAAAACTAATCCTAAAGCTACAGGCTTAGCCGAAATCTAAATACATCCACTGGATAAAGAAGCCTCTTTCAAAACTTAATTGTAAAATCTGCCACTTTCCTAAATCCGGTGCAAGACCTGTTTGCAGAAGGACACCTCAATCTGATCTCTGAATTAATCCATTTTCGGCTCTCGCCTTAATACACCCAACTAACTCAATGGGCCAGGTTCACACAATGCTTGCAGAGTCAGCCTTTCCTTCAAAACATCTGAACGAGAAGCCAAGGATGGAAACCAACCAAGAACCGAGGAGAAATTCCATGAGAACGAAAACAATTAGCCAGTGGAAGGGCTTCGCCTCCAGAAGTTGTGGATGCTCCATCAATGGAGGCTTTTCAGAAGAGACGGCACAGCTACCTGTCCAGAAAGGTATGGGATCTCCTGGCTGAGTAAGGTGTTGGATTGGAAGACCTCCAAGGTCCCTTCTGTTCTGTATTTACAGGAAACCTGTGTTCTGTATTCTGCAGATCACTCAAGGCCAACTACAGGTTGGGAATGTACACAGGTGAATCGAGCCAAAACTTATGGCACCTCAGGTGCACTAGTCCAAGCAGAAGAAATCCAGGAGGACATATTTTCATTGCTGTCTGCAAACAAGCTAACAACAGGGAAGGATTCCTTTGCTGTCTCCAAATGCTTCTCTCTAGCTACCTAAATATAGCTGGGGAATTCTGGAACTTGGCCCACCCATCTTCACTAGGGGCGTTAAAGACACACAGTTCCCATCCTCCCAACTTCCTTCTCAGAAAGATTTATGGGTGCCCCATTCATACAAGGTGCTTCTCTCCCTTCCCAACATCCGGGGTTCAATCAAAAATCAATCTCCCCCCCCCCTCTGCATTTCCAAAAACCCTCCCCTTGCAACAAAAGCCTAAAACCACC